TATTTGCCTAGAAAAGGTCTCAAACAATATTTTATGATGATGAAAATGACAAATGTAATCCTTCCTTACCTTTGGGATAAGACAGAAAATTCTCAGCCCTAGGGGTAAGATTCTTAAAAGTCTAGCTCAAATCTTTAATGTGGGCTAGCTAGACTTTTAAGAATCTTACCCCAAGGATTGAGATTTTTCTGTCCTATTCCTAAAGCGGGAAATTATTTTTTTCCCTCGTGAATAAAAAGAGTTTGTTTTTATAAAATGCAAACGTTGATTTCATATTTTCCATCAAATCGAAATTATCTTTCGTAATCTGCTATTTTGACGTGACGTTATACATTTTTTTATGGCAGGGGAATCCCGGTGTTTTTGCCCTAGGGTAACAAAGAAATATCTGTTCTTGACCAGAAGTATCGATATCTTAGTCTAATAAGGGAGAAAATAACTTATGTTTAACAATATTTCAAGAGAAAACTATCAGGCTTATAAGTAGTATTACGTTATGTTAGCAAACAGCTGTAGACGCCATGATGTTTATTGAATGCTTTTAATAAACTTAGAAATTTGATCAAGCATCAAACTTTTTCTATTTTCCTTCTCTGCAAAACATTTCAGAAATAAGGTCTCTAGTATAATTGTTAATAAATCATTTCGTCATTATAGAAGGCCAAGATCGGAAAACAATTGCTTGATTGGGGTAACGCTTAGGTCATTTGAAGGTAAGTGCCGGGAAAGACGACACTCCTGAAGGAAAGAGGAGAATGAAAAATTCCAACGTCCTCCGAAGAGAGATTCAAAAGGAAATCCCCGACTCTGAAACGATCTTTAAGTTGAAAGTTTAAATGGCAAGTGTTTTACCGTGCTTCAATTATCGTTAGATACTTATGAATCAATATGATTGTGTTAAAAGGCCAATACAGATGGAATTCTTGGACTCTCATACGGAATTATCACTGAAAGAGATTGACATGTATGTCGTATATATCACAAATATCATATCGACACTAAGCAGATAGAGACCACGGGATGTAGGAAGTAATCGATACCGCAGAAATCCATTGCAAGTGAAAGATGCCGCTAATACTGATTAATCATGGTAAAATGCAAATTTAAAGAAAGTCATGGTTAAACTTGTTTATTTGTTACAGATCGATAGACTTTTATTTGACAGTTCCAGTGCAAAGGCAGTGTTCTTAAAAAGTTGAATTTCCTATCAAATCAATCACAGTATACAGGATGCAAACGTGCATGAATGTCCCCTAGAACTACAATAGTTTCTTTGTTTCTCGTTAAATATACCCGTAAGTATTCGGCAACAGTTTTGATTATCCACTATTGCGTAACACCATTAACGTTATAATATTTTTCATTCTTTGACTAATAATATCATGGCATACGTTTAATTGTTCGGAAACAGGAATAATGCATTTTCAACGGAAACATAGTATGAATGATATGCCAAACAGAAGTTCCAAAACTTGCGAGTGTTGGTCATCTTGTTTATTTTACTCTCATGAGCTAATTTTTAAAAATATTTAAAAAGAAATCATTCGGTAAACTTTGTGTCTCTATACAATTTGAAAATTTGTAAAATATAGTCAGATAAAGATGATTACCAAACAAACACTCGTTGGGGAACCTCTTTATGATCATGAACACAATTTACGAAAGTTATGCTGTAAAGACAACAATACTCATGGGTTTTGATTGGAAGGTGATGCGACATAGGACATTCATTGGACTTACGAAAAATAACCACACGACCAATTAACAACAGTAACCACGTAGACATCAAAACAAAACAAGGAAACAGGGAAAACCAGTGTCCTAACAAGGTGTCCCGAACAGAGTAGACTTTCTGTTACCAAATCTGACACCGTTAAATACAGAAAAGTATATAGGTCAGCAAGCTGTAACTAGAAAAAAACAATAAGTGAAAATAAAGTATGAGCAGGTAAAAAAACTGCAAGTATTGATAACAAAATGCACTTTACATATGCCGCACGGTAAGTAAGTACAATCAATCAGTACTTCACAAGTGTTATATCCTGAATAAATACGTATTTGTTCTAAACTTGAATATACAAAGGTATTGAACATTTAAAAGAAAGAAAGAAAATAATCGATATTATAACTTGTAATGACTTAACATTCTTTGTCTATTAACGCACCCAGCCACTACTACTCACCACACCTATTATTTGAGCAATGTTTTATGAACATCATTTTTCAGTACAATTTAACACCATGTCTTGTCTCGAATCGGTAAAAGCATTGTTGATTTTGTGTTGTTTGTAAATGGTCTGTATTGATATTGATATGCGTTCTGAAAAACGTCGACAGTATGATATCTTAATCAACCTCTTTCAGTGATAGACCTATCGCGATAAACGTTAGAGGTGTATAAGCACTTGATGATACCGGGAACAGGTACTGTATAGTTATTATTATTCGCGGGGAATTAAATTTTGCCATATTCGTGATCATCTTAGACTGTGCGATATTAAATACTCTGCGAACATTTCTATAGTCTATTTCAATCGCTGTTGTTATATATAGACGCACACGAAAATATTAAAAATGTTTGTTAACCTGTTTAGTATGCATGCCAAAACACAGTCGACCACCCAATCTTAAATGACCAAAGAAGTTGCAAGCACGTGCACGTTCAACTATTAACATACGGACACAGTCGCCCTTACTTCAGCCAGCCGTCTAGAATCGATACCATTTGAAGTATTTGTCAAGGCAAAACGTTTTGACACACTTAAGATAGCCAAATTGAATGTTAGGGATATATGTAGGATGACAATGTGAAGTGTTGCGTAGCAGCTGGGGACTTTGAATCAGTTAAAGTTTAAGGTCACATTAAGTTCAAAGGTCAAATGAATTGTCCGGATCGTAAATTCTTAATAGTTAATATAGAGCTTAATGAAGGTTCAGTGATAAATGTAGGATGGGAAGGCGGTGTTGCATACCACTTTCGGCTCTGTACACCCAAGTGCAATGCCTCATTAAATTGAAACATTATTATTCCGAGCTAAACTTTTGTATCGTTAAAGGCAAATAAATGTAGCATTGAGGTCGTTCACTTTACACGGTTATGTAATGTAAATGCTCAGAATGGTGCTAAGATAACGTCGAGATATGTGTTAAGTCATATGATAATATTGACCTCTGATCTTTCACGTTAATTTCAAGTGAAAGCAACATATAGGAAAATTGATTACATAAAATATTCAGATGTCATTTGTTAGTGTAGTTTTTAATTTACGCAGTATAATGTTAAAATGTATGTTACCTTATTTGTTAAGCTCCTTGAAGGGAAACATAAGACAGGTCATACTGTATGTCACGGTATATATTACTGTAAGGATCTCTGTCCCACTTAGTTGTGGCTTTACCTACATACAGTAATCTCCCTGAATTTCTGTTAGGATACAAACTGTAGCAAAGTTGGGTATAACACTTCCGTTGACTACGTATCACAGTCGGTTAGTGAGACGGTATAAGTACCTGATGTTCTGGGTAAAAATCCCAGTCTAGTGCTTTTTGAAATGAGAACACTGTTGTTGATTATATTTTGTTTTTTTACTTTCTTTAGGGGAATCCTTAACAAAAACAACGTGGTTATTTGCATGCATGCATGTAACCATACACTACATTGTAGTCTTGTTGATAGGACGTTAAATCATATTAACTAACGCAAACCAAATAGGTCACCCTTTTTGGGAGCATAATCCATAAATTATAATGTTATAATTTGAAAGATTAACGAACTCACCTGTTAACCAGGTAAACCCGTGACTACGGTTGTCCAGTGCTGAATGATAACACCATTGATAAACAACATTGCACAATGTTGACAGTGTCATCACTTTGACGGCTGTTTATCTATCCTCGTGTCAAACACATAAGCGAACGACAAAAGCATCTGCTAACATGTACATTAACATGTCGGTCAAGTACAACTGTATATGCTTGTTTCATTTATATCTCTACACTTTACAGCTGTTTGTTTGTTTTTTCTTTCTCGGGTGAATATCCTCACCTTTTTAAATCCATTTAAAGCAACAAATGTATCTGGAGAATCATGGTCGGGTTATTTTTCTGTTCTGGTTAACGAGGGAATATTAAAAACACTTCGTCTGATGAATCCCAAGGTAATTGTCTTGATTAGTCCTTACTACATTAGCACACATACACACATTTTGTCCACACATGGATGCACGTCATTAAATGATAATCAACTGTGAACAGGACAATAATAAAATAATCAAAGTTTTATTACATGAAGCAGACCATACATAAACCTATGCTTTTTATGAACCTCACTTGACCGACATACTCTGTCCCTTGCATACACACACGTTAGCACGCATACACTACACATATGGAGGCCATCCTTAAATGACATAAGCTGTACATAGGACGTTAAACAAAATTAAACTAATCAAAACCTCACTGATCACTGATGGACTAAACACATATATATCGTGTCAGGTACAACGTTATGAACAGATTATACATCAGCTGTGATATGAATACACATGTCCTCCACACGGTGAAACTGAACCGAAGATCAGGTAAGTAAATATATGTAACAAGAAACATTAATTTACTTTGATATGCGAAGTTTAAGAAATTAAAATATCGTTCTTTTTAAACGACGCTTTGCATCCGACAATTAGATAACAGATGTCAAATCTAGTAAGTCACTTTCGAAGGCACAAAGACGGAAGAAATCATTTGGAATTGTCTCTGTTTTAAACAGCTAGTTTAAAGCCTTGCCGTTTTCAATCATTATCGGATGTGTTTTAGAATGAATTTCAGTACAATTTAATCAGGTCCTATGAAACAAACCTCAAATAACACTTGAACAGATAAAAGCCCTGATTGATTAACCAATTCAAAATAAATAGCATGTCTGAGATATACCTGTTTTTTTCCATAAGTGATGTTCCCAGATTTCAGACTTGTGATAACCATGGTTAACACATCAAAGACGCATGATTTTGAACAGAAACTAGTGACTAGTGACACCTGAATATTATTTTTGTTTTTTTGCTGTTTATAGATATTTTTTAAAAACCTGTCTGCAATAAATTATCAAATACTTGATAACAGAAATACGCACGTTTTAGCCTAGCTTCATTCGGTGGATTTTTCAAAATATTTACACATGACCTGAGTACAAATAATATACTTCGTTAAAAGTTAGATTTTGTTGTGTAGACACAGATCCATAAAAATGCAATTTTTGTTTTAAAAAGGTATGAAGCCAATATAGTATTCTACATTGTGTATATGCTAATTTTGGTGATGTTTCCTTTTAATCTGGATACTTGTGAAATTACATGGGTTATTAATTGTACACAAATACCACCCATCGCTACTCTACACTGCCTTATATGCAGGTGAAGTACAAAAGTATGTTACTGTGACCTTTATACTAAGATATGTGTACTGTTTCGTAAATTAAGACGTATATATTACTCTCATGGAGGAACGTCCTCAAGTGACCTTAGCTGTTAATAATATGTTTTAAAAAATCAAACCAAACCCTGATGCTGTTCTGCTTTATTGCATATTTCTGTCACTGACCGCGAACCGCGCATATACGTCGGGATGCGGAGTGGTCGATCAGTCGGACGATATCCATCCGGCGTTATGGATTGAACCTGCCAAGCACGCAGGCTTTTTCTTCCCTACCAAAGCAGCCTGCGAGTAGTTTGGCAATCCGATTACGAATCCCACCAGCTACGTGCATTGTAAATATATGCCCGTGTGTACACCCGCTAGAGTGGTGATTCTCCCTTTAGGACAAGAATGCCAGCTCCAGTCTCAGGGACGCCGGTTTTGCCAACCATGAGGTTACACCTCCTTCTTGCCCCCCGCGATTTTACCCCTGTAGGTTGGGGATCAAGACAAGATTACGCTTGGTTTTGCCCACTGCACGTATCATCAGAGGCGGTAAATGTGGTACCCCCTGCATAATTGTGGATTTGCTTTTATGCCCTTTATTTTGGGACACACATTATTATTGTTGTTATTTTTATAATACATGCTTAACGGCCAATCAACACAGGATAGGTCATTAGGGCCAACAAATTGTCAACAAAACCAAAAGAAAAATAAAAACATCAAACAAACTTAAAGGTAAAAGACATGACAATTTAAATATTTGAAGTGGCCATGGTAACTCATATCCTATTGTAGAAAACAGTATTTTTTTCTCGAAAAGAAAGCGACCAAAATAAATCAGTTACACCCGTTGCAATATTTGGGATGTTAATATTTCATTCTACTTCTAACTACTTTTTATTTCCTAATCCCTTGCTCGACAACACCTCACTTGTGGCACGTTCACCCAGATGAGGAAGGCAATGCGTTCTATCCCAAGCCGGAACATACCAAAGTCCTTAAAATGGCTGTTGTTTATTCTCTGCTCAATGTTCAGTTTAAGGGGAATTGCAACAACTGGTTCACCCATTGCCATTATAATATGATCGTGAGGAATGATGTGCTGGGTAACCCCGGCATGGTATTTCAGTGAGATAGCACTATAAAGTCGACATCAGATCCGGTCTCTCTCTTGCAGGAAATCAGATCAATATAACAAAGGTTGCAGCAGATAAATTAGGTCGGTTTCGTGACACCATTTAAATGGCAAAGCCCAAGTTGTTCTAGCTGTATAAAAAAACCTTTTAAATTATTTCATAATAAATATATTATAATATACATTGTCCATTCCATAGGAGAGGGCTTGTATAGGCATTATATGAATTTTGTTTAAGATGCAATATTCAATAAAATTCTTGAAACAAATCCCAAGTTCTGCAGAGGGTTCCCTCATAAGCCGTCACTTACGAGCAGTTATATCCTTTTCCCCGATATCCAACTTGCAGGGGTGCTAGTCTCTGGTAGCGACTGTCACGCAGTAATGAGAAAGATTTTAAAAAAAAATCCTTGCATTTACTGTTAATTGCCAAAGCATGCACAACTTTATGGTTTGGTGAATTATTGTTAATTCCAAAATATGTACAAAGGAAATCCAGGTTACGGCTTTTTTGCCCACATTATCATTAGAATTTAAAATGTACAGTATTTATTTATTTTTTATCTTTGAATATTCTTTGATACTATTTTATAATCTCTTATGGTATATAATTTGTTTAAATATGAGCTCTGTAGTGTTCAAGAGGTACACAGAAATATGGCAAATTGACTAAACTGGTTACCATGGCAACCATAATGAAAAAATCGTTCCATTACAGTATTGAGAGAATTATTAGAAAATAAAGAAAACTTGGTTCAAAGATAAGGATCTCTAATATGGTAGATTTGGGATAAAAAATGGGGAATCATACTTTGACATTTGCATGATGTACGGCTAATTAGCTCGAATGCTATTTCAGTATGGAGCTTAAGGACAATTTCCTGTTGGTTGCCGCCATTGATTTTGGAACTACGTACACTGGTTATGCCTATTCCACTCTAAAAGAATTCCAGACCGATCCTCTGAAAATTAACATGATGACCTGGAATGCGGGATCAGGAGGACTTGTGTCTCAGAAAACATCCACCTGCGTTCTATTTAAGCCAGATGGGACCTTTCATTCCTTCGGATATAAGGCTGAAGATTACTATACCGAGCTGTATATGGATGATAAACACAAAGACTGGTTTTTCTTCCGCCGCTTCAAAATGGAGTTGTACAAAGATCACGTAAGTTCCCATCTTAATCATTGATTCTGCCTCATTACACGAATATGAAATATTTTCCTACAGTCAAAAACAGTTTCATTTATATATCTTTTCCCTTCGCTTCTTTAATGTGTGTAATTGATATCAAATATAATTAGCTTATATTTGTTTGAGGGTAGGGATAGCAACATTTCCGTTTAACGATGAAATAACTAAGTTATCAGGGGCTTTGCTGGTCTGTAGAGCTAAACGTGGTTGCATTAAGTTAAGAGCAAACTAAATTTGGTGCCTTTGTAGACGTTTTCTTCAGGGTGGTAAGTATGGATTATGAAAGGTTATTTTTAAACAATTATTAACATTTGCTATGTGACGCTTCGATATTAAAAATGTCACCTTCATCAGACAAATGACAAGTGTAGCGTATGCACACAAAGGTGTAAAATGTGTGTCCACAAAATCGATGTCGATTTCGGCTACGCTGTAAGCGTATGTATAATAGTTGTTATATATGTACCGAAATGACTCTATTCAGCTACACTGTGTTTAATACTTGGTCATAGATGTGTGAGAGTATTTGAGCCCCCTCGTCTCGTTTTGCCGAATATTAATTAGGTAACCTAGTGTAGTGCAGGAATATAGATTAGAAGCATATGGGCCTCAACCGTCAAGAAAATTGAAGTACAATTGTAAACTGTTGGCATGCAGCAACAAATGAAATCAAATATTGCGAAATTATGTTTTGGATTGACCAACCTATATATATACATGTATGGAAAATGTCAGAAAACAGTAAAAAAAAAAAGAAATAATGGAAATTTTAACCCTCCTCGTCAGGAAAAAAAACTATTTTGCAGACACTGTTTTCATTAACTTATTATGAAGCATGTTATTACCTTTCCATCATTGAAGTGCATTTGGTTGAACTGTTGATTTTTAGCAAATGGCCCCTTTTGGGCTAATCTTTTCATGCGTTAGGGCTGATTCTGGGTCTTAATTAACTTAATTTAATCAAACTGCAATCATTCATAGTATTCCAAGCAAGCTTTATTAATAATACAACATAAGCAAAGAATCCTGAAGTGTAATTTTTCAATATAAAATTAAGTAAGTTTTCAGGGGAAGTGACAGGGAAATTTCCTAACTTTGATAACCAAACGAAATACTCATCGAAAACCTTGAGGAAACGTCAACCATCGCATTTCATTATATTTCAGATAAACAAAAACTTCATGTTAAGAACATCAGATGGAAAGGGAATGTCAGCAATCACAGTTATATCAGCTGTGATAGGCTACCTGAAGGGACATTTGATTGAGGCAATACACACTCAGGCAGTCGATGTGTCAGAGACAGATATCAGATGGGTAGTCACTGTACCCGCCATATGGAGTGACGCAGCAAAACAGATGATGCGAGAGGCAGTTGAAAGGGTAAGAGCTGATGATATTTAAAAGGTGCTTGTGTTTATGATATAAAAATGCCTAATTTGTGTAAGACATTATCGGTGTATTAGTTGTTATATCGATCACCCCTACAAATTCACCCAAACATGCGTCGAGATTGATCAATCCAAAGTGTTTGGGCGAATGGGTCGGGAGTGCAGACAATATGCCAAACAGGCCATAAATCTCGCACGTACTACATAGATTTCGGGCCAATGTCTTCGACTAATATTTTTGAGAGAGAGAGGCGGTGGGAAATATATCTGAAACTGAAAGGCTAGTGGGGCTATTTGGATTTCGATCGGCACGAATAGTTGGAACACTTCATTTGAAGTTTGAAGTCGTAGGTCAATTGGTCCGGTTGCTGTTAGAGAGAAGTCAAAAATGTCTCGACCAATGAGGGCAGCCATTTTTAGCTCACCTGCCCGAAGGGAAAGTGAGCTTATTTCATGGCGCAGCGTCCGTCCGTCAACTTTTCCTTTAAAACACTACTTGTCCTGAACGGTCGAGTAGATTTTGACTACATTTGGTTTGGAGCATCCTTGGTCCCAGCTGGGGTCAAAGGGGTGGGGCCAAATAGGGGAAATAGAGGTGAAACCTTTAAAATCCTTCTTCTACCATAGGAATTAAGGGATTTTATCCTTATTTAGTCTGCAGCATCCTTAGACCAAAGGGACACCATTTTGTATAAACGATGGGTGCGGCCCCACTTGGGGCAGAGGGGTGGGGCCAAATACGGGAAATAGAGAATAAACTTTTAAAAATCCTTCTGCTAGTTTAGGGATTAAGAGATTTTATTCTAATTTGGTCTGAAGCATCCTTGGCCCAACAAGGGGACTCAATTTTGTATAAGCGGTGGGTGTCCCCACTAGGGGCAGAGAAGGTTTGGGCCAAATAGGGAAAATAGAGGTAAACCTTTAAAATCTACCATAGGGATTAAGGAATTTTATCCCAATATGGTATGGATCATCCTTAGGCCAAGAGCACTCAATTGTGTATAAACGATGGGTGTGGCCCAACTGGGGGCAGAGGAGCGGGGCCAAATAGGGGAAATTTAGGTAAAACCTTTAAAATCCTTCTTCTACCATAGATATTAAGGGATTCTATTCTTATTTAGTCTGGGGCATCCTTGGTCCAAGGGGACTCAATTTTGTACAAACGGTAGGTATGGCCAACATATGGGTCAGAGGGGTGGAGCCAAATAGGGGAAATAGAGGTAAACCTTTAACATCCTTCTTCTAACATAGAGATAAAGGGATTTTATTATAATTTGGTATGAAGCATCCTTGGGCCAAGGGGACTCAATTTTGTATGAACGGCGGGTGTGGCCCCCCTTGGGGCAGAGGATAGGAGCTCAGTAGGGGAAATAGAGAATAAGTCTTCAAAATCCTTCTTCTTCTATAGGAATGACAGGACTTGTCCAAATTTGGTATGAAGTATCCTTGGGTGAAGGGGAACCAATTTTGTATAAACGAAGGGTCTGAACCCCCTGGGGGCAGTGAGGCGGGGCCCAATAAGGGATATAGAGGAATAGCTTTAATATCCTTCTTCTTCCGTTGGGATGAAGGTATTTTGACCAAATTTGAACAGTATCATTATATGGGGAAGGGAAATCAATTTTGTTTAAGTTTTTAGTCTGACTCCAACCGGGGACCTGAGAGATGGGGCCCAATTAAGCAAATTCTTCAAAATTCTTCTACTTTTGTAGGAATGACAGGATTATGTCCATATTTGGTCTAAAGCATTCTGTGGTAAAGGGGAACCGATTTTGTTTAAACGGTTGGTTTGACCCACCTGGGCGCAAAGGGGCGGGGTCCAATTGGAGAAACATAGCATATTCTTCAAAACCCTTCTTCTGTAGGAATGACAGGATGTTATCCATATTTTGGATGAAGCACCCATGGGTGAGGGGGAACCTATTTTGTATAAATGGTGGGCCTGAAAAAGATTAATGTATCAATACAAACAATATTCTAATGTAAAAGTGTATACCTTAAGTCTACAGTTTTTTTTATATAAACAGCAATATTAAGTACTTGTACAATTCCGTAACCTTGACCTTTGACACTTTTGTGTCATGATTCTTACATTAATGGCTGCACTATTCTAATGTGCCTGGGTATCGCAAAATAAAATACTATTTTGGAGATAATCGTCAATCTAAGCATAGTGATTGGTCTATGACCTCTTGACCTTTGACCAAAATATTATTCGAATAATTTGAAGTAATTCAATATGTGTATACCAAAAGAATTACAGTTTTTGAGATAATTGGGAATTTCGGTTTTGTCATAGCTTTGCCTAATTGCAAAGGTGGGGTCAATATTTGGCCCCCACTTTGATTTCTTTCATTTTTTTGCCACATGTAGATACATAAAAATTATCAATAATTGCATAAATGATTATTCATGAATACAACTGATAACCGTAGTGGAGTCCCTTGCATAACACCATGTTGAGTGACGGAGGTATCCTTACAAAGGGACAGATACAAATGATATTTTGGAAATTAATTATGATAGTGTATAGTGTATAAAATTACTGTTATTTTGATACTAAATATGTCATATTGGGATACATGAAGTAAGCGTAGTGATACCTTTAATTAGAACAACATGCAACATTTCACAAAATTTAAAATATAACCAACATTGTCAACTTGCCTATATATAGTTACAATGGTAGTCTATATTTTTAACTTCTTAAAAAAAAATCCATATATATTCTGTCTTCAGAATCATTTTTATGTAATATCAAAACCGGTTAAGTACTTTTTTAGCCTGCCAAACATGATCAAAGGCCAATTTCCGTAATCATGGAGAATTAATTATCACTGTTTATTATGGTAAATACTGATACATTTTCTGTTTTTGTATTATACCAAAACACTTTGGTATATTACGCATGTTTTAAAGTTATGTGCAACAGAAATAACTCGTGAATATGTATTCTGCCAAGAAATCTTTCCTCGGGAGAACTACTTAAGGTTGAGATTGTGTTATAGATAAAGATATGCAATTATATAAAACCAATAGAATAACCGTGATTGTTAAATTATTATACACTTAATTATACCCCCGCAACGAAGTTAGGCAGTATACTGGAAAAAGCTTGTCTGTCCGTCTGTCTGTCTGTAGAAAAAGTTTGTCCGGACAACTCCTTCTAAAGTAATGGATCAATTTCAACATGAAATTGTGCATCAAGGTATATATTTTTTTCATTCTGATCCTTGTTTAACAAAGTTATGACCCTTTTTTGAAAAATCCTTGTACAGACAACTCCTCCAAAACTGTCGCGCCAATTTCAACGTAAGTTAATAGTATGGTAGCTGCCCCCTGACATTGTGCATCCAAGTAGTACGTTTTTATTCCGACCCTTTAAAAAGGAGTTATGGTCCTTTGGTGAAAAAAACACTTTGTCTGTCCATAAACTACTAGGCCGATTTCAATGAAAATTCACAGATATGGTAACTACCCCTTTATGTCGTGCACTAGGGAAGTATTTTTTCATTTGACCATTTTTAAAGAGTTTGGCACAGGAAGTATGTCAGTGACCTATTTACTTCAATGATTACTGATGGGAGACTATGGATTGCTTTGTAATGCTTTTCCTTTGTTATCCTTTAGCTTACAGTTCTAGTTATTATTATTTTTTGCCATTAAACAAGATATGAAGGAATATTACACTAGTTTATATCGTTTACTCTGAACAAATAAAGCAAGGAAAGATAAAGCAATGAAAGATATCCTTGTCTGACTCCCCATACATACATTTTATTTTAGCATTTTTTTTTGTGTGCGACCTTTAACAAAGGTCAAGGTTATAAACCTTTACAAAACTTAAATCCATTCCATGAGCAACCTGCTTTCCAAATATCAAGACCTAAGGACCTTTGGTCATGAAGAAACACAAATTAAAGGAAAAGTGGAAAGAAAGCTAAATTCCTTTTTTGGATCAAAAGTGTTCTATGACAAATTTACCGGTTGTCATTTTTTTTGAAATTTATGATATTTTTAAAGATAGCCAACTTTTAAGCAAGTATGAAAATAGAATCGTTTTAGAACTATGTAAATTAACGTGCCAAAAATGGAAATGTTCTCATTAGTTATGAAACTTCATATACTTTTCTGCCTAAATCTTCAATAAAAAGAACAATTCCTTCTTTAAATAGTGTAATATTTGGTACCAAAATAACAGTTGGAATATGTTTCGCACAATGATAATATAATTTTATAGTAATTATGTCATTTAAATGCTCTAGGAGGAATTGTATTACCACACCTTTAACATCCACACAGGTGTAAGTCAATGAGGTCCCATTTATCATAAAATGAATTCTGAAACTAACCATTCCTGATTTAAGCGTCATATACTCATACCTTTTTGGAGTTATCTTGTTTTGGGCAGGGGCCGACGCTAATGTTAAATCTCCATTGACATTGACCCTACCTTTGTCCCCGCGCCTTTGGACTTTTCGATTTATATTTTTCACAATTGTATCTTACAAAAAGAATAATTTTGCTCATTCTCAATTCCAAATAGCAAACCAACACTTAGCCGAAGTTATAACGATATTTTGATATATTGCTTTTTTTCAGACTGGAATAGTAAGTAATCAACTAATTCTTGCATTAGAACCAGAAGCTGCATCGATGCTCTGTAAAAACCTCCCTGCAGTTGAGCTTTTCTCCGCAGACTACACAGACAAAGTTGATACTTTTCGGTCAGGAGCGAAATACATGGTGTTCGATGCTGGAGGTACGTTATTTTTCGTTACTACAAAAATGTGTCAACTTCAATATAACATATTGAACTGGTTGTACGTACGGAAGTAACAATGGTAGATAGTGTCACCACTCAATTTAGAGGCGACCAATGTATGGGCCCCTGTAGAATCGTCGGGTTTTATCCTTGTCTTCTACTTGAAGCAAATAGAAGAAAAATGATCCAATTGCAACACTGGGGATCGAGAAAAGAATTTACCTGTTATAGGCATTTCCAACTGCAGAATTCTGGACACAAATGCGACCAAAATAAACCTACTGACCAATAGCAATATTTGGATCTTTATATTTCTCTCTAATTTCTGTTTCCATGTGTCTTATTTTTGAACATTCGCCAAGGTGAGGAAGGCAATATGTCCTGTCCCGATACATGGATATACCAAAGTCCTTAAATATGGTAGATATTCTATCCCACCGCATGATCGTAGAAGCCGACTAATGTGCCACCCTCCTGTAGAATCGGGTTGGTTTTATCTTTGTCTTCTATTTAGACATCAAGAGAATCGGGGGCTTTCCTCTATGTCTTCTAAGAAGAGGACATGGAAGAGACCAAAATTGATCTGCTGCCCCAAATGCAACACTTGGGATCTATTTCGTTTCCTATCTCTCCTGTTTTCTTTCTTTTCCATTTACTTGTTGTTTCAGTGGGTGTCTCCTAAGGCATCGTCTTCATATGACATTGGCTGTTGCGAGGACGTTTAACCCCAAACAAACAAACAAGTATGCAAACAAGTAATGGATGGATGTTTCCAGTGGAATCCCTCAGGGCAGTGTCCTTGACCCGTCATTATTTGTAATATATATATATAGATATATAAAGAAAACATTGAGAAGTCCTTGTGTTGGAATTAAATATAGATATATATATCAATGACTTACCAGAAACAATAAAAGCGTCAACATTCTTATTTGCTGATGATACAAAAATGTATAATCACAGCGAATAAATGAACCTGCAAGAAGACCAGGACCAGATCCAAATACAGTTATTGGATGTTGAAATTTTACCCGGAATGCAAAGTGCTTTCATTAGGAAAACCTAAAATAATACCGCGTCGCTTTATTTACGCAAAGACACCAATGAATGGCGGATAAAAGTCATTTTGGAAAACGTTAACAAAGAAAAGGATCTCTCGGAGTAATCACAGATAACAAACTTAAATTTAATGATCATATACACGAATCGGTAAACAAAGCAAACAAAGGAGTATGGGAACAATTAAAAGAACGTATGTATATTTAGACGCATCAAGTTGTTGTGCTGTATAAAGCATACGTGAGACCACATCTGGAATACGGAACTAGCATATGTAATACATACCTACAAAAGGACATTAACGAAAGGGAGAGCCATAAAACAGATACCAGGAATGAAATGGATAAGCATTTATTGGGGACAACCAGAATGATTTTATAATCATGAACTCGACAACAATGAACTTATCCACTGCCGGGGCGTCAGCCTAGAGGATGACCATACATATGATTTGGATATATAGGCTTTTGCCTGCGTCCGTATAATATTATTATTCCCTGTTTAACGTTCAGCAATAATGAGAATAGCAACAACTGGTAAAGTCGGCATCAGATCTTCGCCATTGTTAGTCGTAAATGTTGTATAGGTTTGATTTGGTTTTATTAAGTTTAACGTCCTATTAAAAGTTTAGGGTATTTATGGACGTGTCTCCATGTGTTTTGTGTATGTGTGCTTGAGACAGGGTATGTTGGTGTATTTGTCTCCTTGTGATAGCGCGGATCTGATGCCGACTTTATAGTGCTACCTCACCAAAATGTCATGCCGAAGGCACCCATCACAGCAATCCTCCTGGCCATATTATACTGGTAAAAGGTGAACCTTGGCGAACGCTCAACATTAAGCCAGTATTGAGGTACTGCCAAGCAAGGCGCTAGGTAATAAAAGATAGATAGAAGTAGAAAGAAAGACAAAGATCCCAAATCTTACAATTCATGCCGTAGACAACAGCAAGTGCAGGTGCATTCTTTTTTCGATTCCCGACCTGCAGGGGTGTAATGTGTACTTAATAATCAGGTGTAATGTGTTTTTTTATCGCCTCTTATTTTTCATATATATTTCAGAATTTTTTACATGTTTTTTTTAATATTTTGCATAGCATCTCATTTCCATATATATTTTCTATGGCATAGGTGGTACCATAGATATCACGGTACATGAAGTGTTAAAAGGAGGATTTTTGAAAGAAGTCCATGCGGCTAATGGCGGCGACTGGGGAGGGACCAAAGTTGACGAAGCTTTTGAGGAATTCTTGGAGAGTATTGTCGGGAAGGCTGCGTTCCAACACTTCAAGGCTAATGAGTTACCGAGTGTCATAGACCTGCACAGGAATTTTGAGGTAAAAAAAAAGATGTGCACAGGTGAGGATATTGGAACGAAAATGTCGTTATATGTCCCCTGTTCGCTTCTAGAATCATTCAAAGAACACAATCCCGGAAAATCTATAGATGACGCTAGTGCAGTTTATCACTGTTCAACAGAGGTGGAATGGAAGCGGGACAAAGTGCGACTTTCACAAAAGAAAACACTATCTGTGTTTGAACAATCGTTCAAGCAGATCATCGATCACATGTCCGATATCCTCAGCAAACCGGCGATTAAAGATTGTGAGGCCATCCTGATGGTGGGTGGATACTCCGAATGTCCACTTCTCCAGGACGCCATCAGAACCGTCGCCGGAGACATCCGTCTGATCGTTCCTAGTGATGCGAGCCTGGCCGTACTGAAGGGAGCCGTGATCAACGGACACTGTCCGGACACTGTGTCAGAGCGGGTATGTAAATACACATACGGAACAGGTTGCAGGCAGATGTTTATAAGAGGAGTACACAGAGTAGATTATCTTGTATTAACTGAAAGAGGGGAAATAAGGTGTGAAAATTGTTTTTCATCATTTGTCAAAAAAGGCACACACGTCAAGATTGGTACATCTTCGTTTACTAATACTTTCAGTGTGGCTACCTCAGGTCAAACAGGTATGTGTGTTGAACTGTATGTCTCAACGTCTGTTAACCCATTGTATAGCACAGAGGCAAGTTGCCAGAAGATAGGAGCAATCACGTTGGATATGCCTGATACATCGTTGGGTCTTGACAGAGGAGCATGTGTAACGATGTATTTCGGGGGATCAGAGGTCGAACTCAAAGCCGTTGACAAACATACCGGAAATGAGATACGAGGCTGTTTTGATCTTCTCGGATAGTATTATGTTCTTCGGGGTTTAGCTGCGGATGAATTAATGTGTTTAATTTTGTAGTGCCCTCCGTTTTATTTATATTTCGATTTCGAGGGCATTCCATTCATTTTATATTATATCAGTGGAGATGACATTGTAACCAAGGGTTGATCTAAAGCCCAAAAGCGTTTACCAGTTCTCCCCTCACACAAGGCAATTCTAAACAAACACATATTTATGTTTATTTGATCATTGTGCTGTTATATGGAAAACAATAGGACAGTTTTAAACAACATTGCATAAAATATCCATTATAAACTGAAAAAGTAGAAATTTTCACGGTATGGCTCTTCAAACGAATCGCGGTGTTAAACGTTCTTGTGACGGCAATGATTCTAAACCTATATAATTGTTAGCTACATAATCCACAAGTAACTATTTGCATGTAGATATTTTCGCACTCATTTACTCAACGCGACAAACGCGATAATGTCCACACCGCGAAAATTTCCACTTTTACAGTATGTAGTTTTATTAAGTGGTATATATATACGTAGAGATTAAATACATTATTTTTTAATGTTTTTGTACACGACAAATATGTTATGTGTTTAGTGTTACTGTTCATCAGACAATGTGGTATCTGGTCATTTTGAAAAGCGCAGATGCAGTATGTCGGTGAGATCAAACGCCAGACTTTTCAACATGCCGAGACCTACATGAATGGCCAAGCATGCTGTTCTTATTTTCCACTAACAAACTTGAGTAACCAGTGTTGACAATGAACGATACCTAATAAACCATATACGTGTTGTTATTTCAGATATTATATATTTACATAGAGAATATTAAATGGTAAAATCCATATCACATGCCATATCAGCCCGAGGACCACATATCAAACCGAGGGCTGGAAACTTGCTTTGGCATTGATCATATACTTCAACACTGAAAGGTAAATTCAACACAAATTCAATCAAACAAAAACTTAATACATGACATCTCAGTATAGCTCGGGTTGTTGTGCCGCAGGTTGTTTTTTCTTCTCTGTCTCGAGACAGATTGTTCGTGTTATTAAGATCATCAAGATCCAGTATCCAATTAGCCAGTGAATTTAGAATTATGTCACCTTCAGTATTTTTTACCTGACCTCATCAGTGACCTTCGTATCTGATGTAAACAAATCAGTGGTAGTCTATGCGCATATAACTCTAGAGGTGTTCTGCACCTGTAGAGTTCCGAAAGTCGTGATATCCATTTTTATGCATTTCCTGTCTAATATGTGATATGCATTTCCCAACCGCCGGTCTGATATGGGTCACGTGAATTTGCAGCATATAGTTCTCAGTATATGACAAACGCTAGTATCATTGTCTACTGTTATACCTAATTAAGTATCGTTTATCATTGTCTACTGTTATACCTAATTAAGTATCGTTTATCATTGTCTACTGTTACCCTAATTAAGTATCGTTTATCATTGTCTACTGTTATACCTAATTAATCGTTTATCATTGTCTACTGTTATACCTAATTATGTATCGTTTATCATTGTCTACTGTTTACCTAATTAAGTATCGTTTATCATTGTCTACTGTTTTACCTAATTAAGTATCGTTTATCATTGTCTACTGTAATACCTAATTAAGTATCGTCTATCATTGTCTACTGTTACCCTAATTAAGTATCGTTTATCATTGTCTACTGTAATACCTAATTA